AAAGCTTGATAAGTATATGAATGAAAAGGGATGGGTTTAAAATTTTATTTTATGTTTTTTAATCATTCTAATTTAATTTTGACGATGGAACAGCCGAGATGGACCAATAGGTAACATGTTGCCCTAAAATATTATGTTAAGCATAATAGTTCAAAAGCAAAAAAACAACAACAACATGAATTCCAGAAAACAGGTTGAGAGCCAATGTTATTACGTTGATGGTAAACCTTTTCAAGCACTGTTTTCCCCTTAATTTTATTGTGCACAGTTTATACAATAAACCATAGCCTATTAAAAGATCAAAGCTTTTTAATAGATGTACTTAGTAAAAGTAATAAGATATGTTTTTATGATAAAATATATATATGACAATTTTTTGTAATATATTTTTTCAGGATAAAAATATACATTTTCTTTTGGCATTTGTGATATTGACATTAAGATAAACTATTTTTGTACGTTGGACAACAAAGTTTTAAATTCAAATAATCTAATGTCATTCTTCATTAAAAAATGAATTTTCCAAATTTAATGTCTATTTACTCATTTTAATTCGTGTTTTTTTATGTCACTTCTACAAAATATAGTTTTAAATGTTTTAAACATGCGCAGCCAGTCCTACAACAACCATCAAATATGGTAGGCTATTTCAATGGAATACAAGCTAAAATACGAGAAATGAATCCTCTTGCAATTTGTGTTCCTTGTGCCTCTCATTCCCTTAATTTAATTGAATTATGAGCTGTTGAGTCTTGCATTGGTCATATAATTTTTTTTGGAACGGTTCAGCAGTTGTATGTGTACTTCAGTTCATCTACATATCACTAGCCCATTTTTAAAAATTCTATTGGACCTAAGAGACCAGTCGTAAAACGAGGTTTTGACACAAGATGGTCAGCACACGCGGATATGCTATCAAGACACTATCATTCGAATACACATGATTCAAGAAGCTTTAAGAATACTGTTACGACAGCGGAAGTCACGTGACTCTAGTAACACGTCATGAACTTCTAGAGGGATCCTGTCCCTTCCTGAATGCTCTAGCGTTTACTAGATTTCGGTATTCTTTTATATATAAGACGGTCAAGACGTGATGGCAACAATGTGATTGAACTGTGGACAGAGAAAGACATTGTTGAGTCGAGCATGTGAAACGTTCGTTGTGAATTATAGCATTTGTTATAGCATGACTGTGAAAATTAAGTGTACTGCAAAGTCGTATTCAGAAAGAATAAACCAGTTTTATTTAAGAAAGGACTTGTATTGCTAAAGTTTCTTCGGAAAGAATTTTTACGGAAAATTGACTAACGACCAGAGACATAACAAATTGGTGTCAGAGAGTGGGACAAAAAAAATGGAAACGAGAAGCGGCAAATCAAACTACAGCTTAGCAGACTTGATGGCAGCAATACAAGAGCAGCAAAAGAAACAAGAAGAACGAGAAAATAGACAAGAAGAGAGACAACAGCAGTTGCAAGAAAACTTGCAACAGTGGCAGCTCGAACAGCAAAAGAAACAAGAAGAGAGATTACAGCAGTTGCAAGAAAACTTGCAACAGTGGCAGCTCGAACAGCAAAAGAAACAAGAAGAGAGATTACAGCAGTTG